GCTAACACTCTCTGTAGCTCAAAATCCCCCACACTTCACTCCCTCCCGCTCTCACACCTCTTAACCCCTCAAGCTCCACACCCATCAAGTAACCATAACAATTTAGAACATCATAACATGCCAAGTGAAGGATCACTACAATATATAATATATTTCTTGTAAACAGATTTGTATTTTGTACTGTGTATAAATATATGAGCCTGTTGTGGAACTTGTCAGTTTTGCAACATGTGACTTGTTCGACCTTAACAACTAAAACAGTGGTGAACATGCACCTTTTTGACCATGTGGACGACTTGAACACTGGTCGAACTGGGCCGTCGTTTACTACGACTTCTCAGAGCAGAGTCTCTTGTTCATATGACACATGAACAGTCTGTCCATGTTCTGATCCGAACAGAGGCTGGGGTGAGAGAAGCAATGGTAAAATAAAAATATAAAACTTTCCTTTTATGGGCCCAAAGTATTTGTAGTTGCAGTAGTTAACTACACAAAAAGTGGCAACAAGGTAATTTAACTACTTCAGTCACTGCACAACTATGAATGTAGCATCAAGTTTCTGAAAAATGGAGCCAAACTACCAGTTTAATTCCCAGTAGTTCACTGGTCGCCAACACTGATGAGAATTTACAGAACAACTTCAGCAGAACTTAAACTTTGTTTATAGACACAAAGCAGGTTTTTCTCCTTCAGTGAAGCAACAGCTGGTAAAGCCAACGTTTCTAACATGATGACGGTGATTTTATAACTGGTGATGCTGAACCATCTGACAATCTCCTATTATTGTTTGCAGTACTGTCACTGACTGTACTTGGTTTTGAGTCACAGCTTATTGGTGTGGTAGTGGAAACGTGCAGGACCCAATAAAGATGCCTGGAGACCCGGAGTAGCTTCGAAGAATTCTTTTATTTCATGCAGCATGGAGAGACGTCGGACACAACTTAGCAGTCGCGTAGAGTTCTCTATCTGACTGGTAAAGGGGCAGGCCTTTTATACCAAAAGTGATACAATACACATCTATAAAACTCATACCATTGTCTCATATCTAACAACCCACATACCGTCTCCAGCTGTCTTTGGTGTCTGCATCTCTCCGCGACCAGACAGCCAATTCACATTTTGACAAAGACAAGTTGGCTTGTTTTGCATTCACACACAGACCCACTTAACATATTACAAGTTCTGCTTTGTCTTGGGATGTCCTGCAGAGACCGAGGGCTCGACATCCTGAGATGACCACCTGGCCAGTTTAACATACAAATTAACATCACACATACACACAGACACCCGGTGTAGATCACAGTCCAGCGCAGGGAGGTGTGATCTCCTGCTCACCAGGTGACCAGACATCCACAAGGGAGAGGATGGACCACTAGGTAATGCTGGCTCACAAGGAGCTCCAGGGTCACCTGGAAGGACAGGTAACACAGTGACATCACACAGTGAAGACCCTGCTGTCAACTCACAGCAGCCAGACTACCTGATTACTGCTCTGACACAGTACTACAGGGTACTATTCTCAGTGGACTGCCACTGGCAAAAGTACAGCGTGCTGCTAGATGTACTGTATGTAGTCCCGAATACTTCCCCCTGCAGGCCAGAAGGGGATGAATGCACACTTGACGTGGACGGCGGTGCCAGGAGACCTGGGCTTGGCTGGACCTCCTGGACCCCAAGGACAAAGTGGACACCCAGGGAGCCATGGAATTCCTGGATATCCAGGTGAGGATGGACATCCTGTAAACACACAAACAGCATAAATATGGTTTTAGACAAACAATGTAACTGCAGTTTTTAGAGGCACTGCTGTGTATGGTGGCTGCAGGTCTTAAGGGCAGGAGAGGGTCAGCTGGTAAAAGAGGACCAGGTGGTTCTCCTGGACCGAAAGGGGAGCAGGGAGACCGAGGGCTTCTCGAACCAAGAGGTACTGAGTCTGTTCTCTTGTCATTTATTTGCACAGAACCACACAACTAACACCAGACGTATTACAGATGCTGTAAGCTGGATATGTTTCACAGTTTGATATTGTTCATTAGTGTTTATCGTTGATTTAAAACTAAACGGTAAACAGCTCTAAATACCTGCCATTTTTCAGCAAACCCATTAGTCCTCTGATATGTCCAGTCTATATCCAGAAGTCTGGTTTGTATGCTGCAGTCCACTTGGACATTTGCTGTCCTTGATCTGAGAAGCACTGGAGTCAGCTGTACAGTGCTGCCTGTCATCCAGAACTGGCTCTGTGTTGACAGGTACCCCAGGTGCATGTGGTACAGTTGGTGCTAAAGGTGTTCCGGGTCCACTGGGTCCCTGTGAGGAGACACCAGTGAAGGGCAGCTTCCTGTTCACCAGGCACAGCCAAGCACTCTTTATCCCAAAATGCCCTGCAGGATCCGTGAGGGTGTACACTGGATACTCACTGCTGTTCATCCATGGAAACAGCCGAGCTCACGGACAAGACCTGGGTAACGTTTTCACCGCTGCTGCTAAAAGTAACTTAGTGGATTTACTGTATTGAAGTATAGCTTTGAGGTATTTGTACTTTGCTTGGGTTTTATGCTGTTTTTCAAAGGGGCATACAGTACTTTTTACATCACTGCTATTATATTTGTCAGCAGATGGTACTGTTACATTTACTTAGAAACTCAGAAAACGAGAGATAGTGGTGCTGGCCCACATTCAGAGCAATATACCGGACACCCTGGACACCCTGCAGTATGCCTACCGGCCCCAACAGACACCATCGCGGCTGCCCTGCACTATTCCCTTTCACCTGGAAAATGGAGACTCCTACATCAAGATACTCATCATTGACTACAGCTCTGCCTTCACCACAGTTGTCCCCCACAAACTCACCC